CTTCTGTTTCTACTCACAAACGGGGGACAACTACTCAGGTTTCTTATTCAACTTTATTAATTAATATTTAATGAGAAAAACTTTGAAGAATAGTTACAAAATGAAGCATACTTACTAGAGGATGAGTAGGAATACATGCTACTGGATATTTTATGTTTTAATATTTGAAAAATGAGTATTTGTTGTGCATCCAAAAGTTTAGAAGAAGTGGTACTAAGGAGCAACATCAAATTCTTTAAAAAAGACCATTTCTTCCATTTGTTACAAAACTCCTTTATACAGCATTATAAACCCTAGTCTAAATGAGTAACAAGTTTCTAAACAGATAGGCAATTCCATGCTTTTAACATGCCAGATAAACATTTTACATAAATTGGAAGTTTCAGTACTTTCTTGCTTACGCAAAGAATGTCAGATCATGTGTAGCACCCACCCTGTCAAATATCACACCTGGGTTACTGAAGCATTTAGAGAAACAGGCTTGTATACCAATGGACTACATACAGATTGAAATGGCACCGAGACTCAGATGGAGATTCCCCACATACCATGCCTCTCCCCAGATTTTCCTTGAAGACACCAACAACTGTCCTGTCTCAACTGATCACAATGCATGCGTTTAACTGGTTTCAAGAGACCATTAACAATGCATATATATTAATTACCATTTCAAATTTATGTCCAAATTAATCTTTTCATTTCCTGTAAAATGCCAAGTTGCTCTCAAATCTCTGTGGTCTTTTTCTTTGTTACAAGGTTCTCAAGTCCTCTCTCCATCTCTTATGTTTAATATCAAGGAACTATTCATTGTGCTAAACAAAATAGGTTTCAGAAGTCACTAAAATATATTAATCACTTGGGGAAAATATACTAGTATACAGCAAATAATTCTGACCACCAAACTTTTGTGACCTCCTAATTCCACTTCTTTGTTACTGGAATTTAAGCAAATGATCATAACTAAGCATAAGTCTAACTATTTCCTGATTTAAAAAAAACAAAAACAACTTGATAATGCAAGCCTGAAAGTACTGACCTTACCAGATTTTACTGTCCTCTCCATAAACTATTAATAGGTTAATATTTCACACCATGACTGTCCTGATGCTGAATGCTCCATAAAGGCTAAAGTCTCTGCAGGGAAATACATCTCTTTTCTAGGAAATGCACAAATGCAACATTACATTGTTATTTGGTTTCATATCCTTCAGTCACAGTTTATACTTGCCATTTTAAGCAGTTTTACTGCTACCTTGTGTGTTATACTTATAATCTTTAAAATACCCAGATTTGAGATTTTCATGCTCAGAGCAAGAATTTTACTGGATATAATTATTTTATAAAATATGTATACAGAATTATAGTATTTTAAACTTAGCTGAAACTCTACATTAAAGAAGTCTCTAATCCCACATTTAATCATGCTTAAAACTAAGCACATGAATAGACCCACTGAAGCACTTGGAACAGGTAACTTGAAGCATATGCATAACATTTACAGAATCAGGATCTTAAGGAATGGAAGCTTAAAATCTAAGTTTCTTTACAAGAATGTTATGACCAGTTTATCTTCTACTTATAAAAATAAGCTTTGATCTTGGGCACTGAAAGAAATCACAGCCGTACAAATAAAATGTTTGAAGGTGGCATAACTGCATGTATTACACCTTTCAGACATTCCTAGCACATTGATATAGAGTATACTATTCAGAAAACAGAAGATTAATGAAATAATTGAAAACATTATGAAGCAGCTCCCTCACAAGTGTTCATACTTCTTTTCAAGGGACATGTAAACCATCCTAAGGAATTCCGTGCAGCTCAACCTAAGATAGTGCCAAATGCCTCCCCAATGAGAAAACAAACAGTAGTAGCATAGTCAAGATTCATGACTGAACCCCTTTAGCTAATTACTAAAATGCACTTGGACAAAAGATTTTTTTCATTCCAGGTAGACTTAGTAGAAAGACTGGGATACAAAGAATCACTAATAGCCTCAAAACTGAAAGAAAAAACACGATCAACAATAGTTCAGGAAATTGTATAAGTTTTATCATATACTTTATGCTGTTTTGCTAAAACTTCAAAGTGAACCCTGGTTTTCTCCTTTCCATTGGCTAGAGAAGCACACAACTGTAAATTAATTTGAGACTGTCATCCAAGGCGTACTTATAACCCAAGCCTTCTTGCTTCCAAAACTCCTGTCAACCAGATTCTTTTATCCCTAGAATTCTTCACCTCAATTCACAGTCAACTGAGAACACAGATAGCATTAAAATAAAGATACGTCCAGGAAAAAACAATTTTCACCATGCTATCACTTTACATTTTATGCAGTATTTTCAAAGTTAGTTCAACACAATTAAACTCCAACATCACTGACTTCACAAGCATTTGAACAGATACCCTGCTTTCAGATATGAAACATATCTCTTGCTTTTAATTATAACAGCACAAATAAGTTTTAATATCTACCTACAGATAATCCTAAAAATAGAAAAGGATGGCACTGGTAAAATTTGGTCAGACTTCTTGTACTAAATTACAGTTCTGATAATTACAGATAGTTTGAAAAAGTGGGTGGCCTAATAAGGAAAGCCCTAAGGTGATGTTCTGCTAGCTTTGGCGACACTGGTACATTTTCTAAACTACCTAGGGAACTGCTACAGTTAAACTTCAGCTTGCCGAGCTGAAATATTTCAATACATGAGAAGCAGCAGTGCCTATAAACTGAGTTTCATATGTGCCACTGGAAGTCCTTGCCTGTAGTGGTAGACAGACTGCTCAAGTAACTCATCTTGAGAAGAGGGATGAGCAAATCCCAGCCCCCTTTTCCATGGCTGTGGAGAACTCTGAAAAATGATTATTACGCTATTACTTCAAAGCACTGCTTGGACTGCTGCATCGAAAGGAAACTGTCCTCATGCCCGCTCGTAACAACACAAAGCCGAGTGTTTGTTTGGTGCACTGCATGGAGTGAAGATTATAGGATGTTAAAGGAAAGCCCCCTGCATGTCCTGCTGAAACAGGAAAGCCAAGCTTAAGAAGATATCCATAGCTAAAATAAAACAAAACAAAAAAAGGGATCAAGACAAAGTTACCACTGGGAATGCAACAGGGAGGTGAGGGTGGGGCAAAATCAGAAAATTCCTACTTCTAGTTTCAAATGATTTGATAGAAAAGGGTGCGATGGACTCCCTACTCCCGGACAGGAACATAGGAACATACACCCTCTGCAGTGAAAACTGGGTAAGCCCCAACGAAGCACACTGCTCTCCCTCAGATCTGCTCACACGGCTGTTTTTTCAAGTGTTACATTTCACAAGTCAAGCAAGTTTTTTTTTTTTCCTTTTGCTTCCCTTTTCAACTTTTAAAGGAAGACGGGGAAAGAAAAAAACCACCCCTCTCCCCTCCCCCCACAGCCCCCATCCCAACTCTGCCAAAAGTCTGAATCTGCCTGTGATTGACACCCGACACCAACTCCTCCAAAACCCCAACAGAAGTCACTGGCTGAGGCTGCAAAGCACTGGGGAAAACACTCACACACACTTGCTCTCATACATCCACATGCACTCACTCTCAGTCACACATGCATACTCACACACAGTTACATGTGCTCATTCAGTCACATACACACACACACTCACACATTCACAGGCAGTCACACACACATGCTCACTCAGTCTCACATGTTCACTCACATTCACATGCAGTCGCACTCACACATGCCCAGTCACACAAACACACACATGCTCGGTCACATATGTCCATTCAGTCACATACACACTGACTGTCACACATGTTCACTCACACATTCATTCACAGTCAGTCACCCACTCACGCTCAGTCAGACATGTTCACTCATTCACACACAGTTGCACACAGTCACACAAACACACATACGCTCAGTCACAGATGCTCATTCAGTCACATACACAGTCACATATGTTCACTCACATTCACATGCAGTCCCACACACACACACACAAACCCACACGCTCAGTCAGCCACATACACACTCACTCTCAGACCCAGTCACACAGGTTCACTCACACCCGCTCTCAGTCACACACACAGACACAAACACTCACACAGCCACTCTCTCACACACACGCACAGAGTCACTCACACGCGCGCTTTTTGTCTGGTTTCTTCAATAAGCCCCACCACCACCACTAGCCACCCCAGCCCCTCCCGTGCCCCAGCCCAGCCCCCGGGCACAGCCACCCCGGGGCTCCCGCGCCGCCCCCCGCACCCTTGGCCCCAGCCGGGGGCACCCGCGTCCCGTCCCGTCCCGTCCCTCCCCGCGCCGGGACTTGCGGGAAGTTTGGCAGCGGACAACAAAAGGCGGCGGGAGGGAGCGGGGGGGG